TATATATATATGTAATTTATACATTTTACAAAAGAAATGTGCAACATGCAAAAAAGTACACAAAACTTCGATATAAGACAATGAGATAAAACGATCTAATCAATTCCGATACATATAATTTTTAATTCTGCAACGCGTCTTCTATAATTATTATTTCTTTATAAGATAATAAAAATGTTATTTAACGACTATTAAATGATTACAATATCGCATCTATGATTCAAATAATATAATGGAATGAACCAAACGATTTAATCGTATATAAATTCTATTTCTCGCTTTACTTTCAACAAATTTATGAGTCTCTAAAAAATCGCGAAGAAACATTGCGTTAAATAGAAAATAATTGGTCCAATAATAAGATCAGGTCTTTCCGAGTAAGACGTTGGATAGTATCTGACAGAGAGCAGAATGATTTCCACAGAGAACGAGCTGTGCTCTACTTCTCATCAAATTTCACGTCAATGCGAAAAAAAGTTAAATGATTCGTTGGACACTAAAAACTCCGTTGCAGAAGGAAACCAATCCCAAATTTTTCGGACTGTTCTTATAATAGCGCCTATCTTGATAACGAATTAACAACCCTTTTCCAAATTTTTGCTAATAATGTAAATATTATACAATTATCAAATATTTTAATGATAACTTAATCGATATTAACTACAATTTCATATTACACAAGATCAAGATTTGCACGCAAAAATAATTCTTCAAATTATTACGAAATACAGCATTAATAAAATAAAAAAACATGGATAGAATAAGGTTTATCGAAGGATAGTTACAAATAATTATATCTCAATGTAATAAAATACATACGTCATTATAATTTATTACATATGTGAGTACAAAAATTCTCAGGTACCAACTGTTCGAGGTGAATCGAACCGATAACAATGAGATTTAAATTTTATTCATTTTTTCATCTTATTTTGATTTTATAATCGAATATTATTAATATAAAACTTATATCAATCTACTTTTTTCTGTAACATTTACTCAAATGTAGTCAAATAATTAAATAGGATTATTTAAATAATTAATGTAATATTTAGATAATTGCTATCAAATGCTTATTGATATCGGGGTACCCAATCGATTCGTCTTGAATCTTTAAGTACGCACATTTTTATTTTTTTATTATTATGATGATTTTATTATTATAATTATGTCCATTATATTATTACAATAAATTATTTAAATAAACATGAATCTTTTTGATAAAAAATTTTATCAGATAAATAGAAGTTAAACATTTCTTATATAATATAGACTGTATTTAGACGTATGTATTTCATTACATAAATTAATCTAAAAAATTTTTTAATTAATTAATGTTTTGGAATAAAAGGATGTCCAATACCTGAAAACAGTTTCTTAAAAGAAACTAAAGATTAAAATAAAAAATATTCATTTGTAACCACATTTTTTTTTAAAGAAATTGATTAATTAATAAAACTTGTAATTTTAATTTATTTAATGTAATTCACTTATCTATAAACAATTGCTATCCATGTTCAATCCGTTAAATCTTATTATTATTATATATTGTCAAAGCAGTATTAATATTAATTAAAGAAAGAATGTTATTAGAGAAGAATAAATTCTTGGCTTAGAACATATATTTGATTGATTTCATGATAAGATTTAAAAAAAATTATATTGCCGTCAACTTATTCGAAATCACTGCTTCCAGGGAATATAAAAAAAAACTCTTAATTAATTAATCGATTAATTTTAGCCCTGCAATGAGAATCGCGTTGAAAATTCCCAGATTCAATGAAGCACAAAATAGGCATCTCGGATAGATGTTACGCAACTGATGAGAAATAACTTTCTACAAAAATCATTACTCTCCATCGGTATGAATTACAACGTTTATAAGTTTACTTGATGCTAGGAACAGCCATGATCGAGTCCCAATTATCATACATATAAAAATAACGCAATATTTGCATTAAATTTTAATAATTTAACATATTTAATACAAAACATAATTTAAAAACAATATAATATCTTATAGGACCGTATATGTGTGATTCTATAATTTAAGAATTCTGTTAATAAATATTGAATATTATATACTTCATGAGTACATTTCATCATAAGAGCGAGATAAAATAAGGCGTTTCAAATTCTATAACAAACTTTCATAAAATTTAGAACTTCGCAAAAATATATTAAATTTACTTATGACATCGTGATATCTAATTGAACAAAAACTGTATACATATACTGTCATTGTCTTCAATTAATTATTATATGTTACATAAATTATAACTTTCAATACGGAATTCTAAATGAAATATTTCCCGAATTTTTATTAACAATCTTTTACTAACAAAAAAACTTAAAACTTCCCAAAACGAACGTTATTAAATGCACATCAATTTTCGTCTTATTAATTGCATTCGATTATATAATAAACATTATTTACAATTATTATTACCCAAATTATAATTACAATACATAGTATTTCCAATTATATTATACAAATGACACGATAATATACAATTATTATTACATAAATTACAAATACAATACATAACATTTACAAAAATATGTAATATTTTACATTATCCCTAAGAATT